GAAAAATCTCATGGAATTTCATTGGAAAATGTTAACCTCACATATATGTGCACATTACCACATAAATTGCTATGCCATGTCAATTCACGTCACTAACTTCGTCCATGTATTTTCCAAACTAAACGACCTCCGATGGTAGTGAAATTTGGATATATGCTACACTAAAATGAGTACTTTCATATGCCCGGACCTTGTCCAGGGAAATTTCAAAATTTCTCGATGATGCTCGGGGCTGAAGTTGGTCACTTGATCATGGGTAGAATTTTCAAGAAATGCAGTTAGAGTCATAATTTTGAGTTTTTCTCATTAATGCAATATTGATGTTACATTGACTTCCATGCGTTGAATATTGCACATATTTTGAAGAAAGTTTGGGGGATTTGTGCTTGACATCGATATTCTTTATTGTTTCCTTATTTCACGAACTTGATACACTTCGTTCCCTATTTGTGCAGGATGCCGCCGAAGAGAACATCAAAAGGTAAAGAAAAGGTTGGTTCCTCCTCCGGCACAACCCGCACCAGAGAGCTAGTAGGAGGTGTGCGAAGATTCTATGATGCCAAAACGTTAGCTCGATATGAGAACATAATACGCCATTAGGGCATGATACCAGAGAGATAGGTCCGGTTAGAGGATTTTCCTGGTTTTGAGTTACCAAATCTGATACAAATTTGTGGATGGGAGAAGATTGTAGAAAAGCCACACCCAGTTTATGAAAGTTTAGTCCGAGAATTTTATGCAAACTTCAATAGTGAAATTGAGACTCCGGGTTCTGAACACTTACACCAAACATGGGTGCGAGGTAAGTGGATAATGTTCTCCCAGCCGTCATTCATGACTTCTACAATCTTAATTTGGACAATGTGGTTTCGATTCCAGCTCAATTCAACTGGAATAAAGTGGCGGAGGTTCTCTTGGGAAGAGAGAATGCTTGGCCCCTACCCACTGCAGAGTGGCATCAAATTGAGCTTACTCCCTTCATAGCCATCCTTTGGGTCTTCATGTGCCATAACATCGAACCTACATCGTATCAGACAACTTTCACGGATCAAACTACTGGGTTCATATATCATTTAGTCCGGGGATGCAAAGTTGATTTGGCTACTCTTATTTTTGACCAGATACACAATTTGGGAACCTAGGGAGATAGGCGGTCTTCGATGATTTTCCCTAGTCTGATTAGCGGGATATGTCTTGCTGCCGGTGTTACAGTTGAGGCAGGGGAGATGCCTGAGAAATCAAGCCCAGTGATAAAGCTCACCACATTTGAAGCTTAGGAACGAGCTAGGGTAAGGAAGAGAGAACAAGAAAGACTTGAGCAGCAAAGACAAAATGCGCAGGAAGAAGGACAAGCTGCTGAATATTTACACTTACCACAAGCCCCGCCACAACCAGTTGAGATGGATTCACAGCTACTTCGACAGATATTTGCCACAGCCACTGGAACTAGCAGAGACATACAAAATCTCCAGCAGAGGTTCGAGACAATGACCACCACTATTGAAAAAGTGTAGAGAGACCTTTACTCCTCCCGAGACTGCACAAGAGGTGCTTTGAATGAAGCCACAGCTGCGAGAAGGGAAGTGGAGACTATGAACGGTAGGTTGAACATGTACGCTGGGAGAATAGACGGCATACAGTGGCGTGTGAACGAGACTTGGGATCGCTTGGGAAATATGGAAAGTACTCTTCAAGCCATTCAGGCCGAGCAAGCACAGCAGTCCGAGTTGCTGAGACAAGTCATATCTCGTTTCCCACCTCCTCCTGAAGATGATGCTGCAGGTCTCAGCTTCACACGACAACCACCGCATTGATTAGGGGAGTTTTGTTAATCTTTTATTGCCAACTTGTGTCCATGTTTTAAATTCTGCCATTTTAATTTTACATTTTACATTGAGGACAATGTATTGTATAAGTTTGGGGGATGGTAGCATAATTTCAAACAAATATTCGGCATGTAATTATTTTGCATATTCACAATCCATCGTTAAGTTTGACAAGTTTCTGCATGATGCATGCTTGATGAGTGAATCTTTATGAACGTTTGCATGCTTGTGTGGGTTTGGTAGCCTTGCCGGCTATGATGTGATTATTGAACATGTATAAGATAGAAACTGTGGATTTAGTGCAGAATGTAATTTGCTAATACTTGTTGATGCATTACTTGACACTCTTTTGCACGCCACTCATGTCACGTGTTAAGTTATTGATTAGAATTTTAGAATAAATTAGGAGAAACCTAGAATAACCCTCTATAACATTAACCCGTAATATCACTTTAAGATAGTTTGGAGATGATTGAGCCATTGTAGGAAAACATGGAGATAAATGGGGGCTCCGTGCATGAAATTATAATGTGTGGATTGTTTAAACCCGAAATATGAAAAATAGGTGAAAGTTTTAAGTGAGGATGGTTTTAGAAGTCAAATATCTAGAAAAACAAAGAGGGGTATAAAGTAAAAACTGGAAAATTATCACTTCTCTCAAAAAGCCTTTATGACTCGAGCAAGTAAGTCTGTAAGGGTTTAAAACCTGATGCCCTAAAGCCAACTGGTTTGGGAGTCATCGGCCTAAAGCTCGTTACATGGGTCATATAGAAAGCAAGAAAAAAGGAGAGTTGATAAAAAGTCATCTTGTCGAGCCTTTATAACTCGAGTGAATAAGACTGCAAGGGGTTAAAACCCGGTGCCCTAAAGCCAACAGGTTTGGGAGTCATCGCCTAAAGCTCGTTACATGGGTTATATAGAAAGCAAATGAGTAGATGACACACACACACACACACACACAAAATAATAAAAAAAAAATATAAAAGCCCTCGTTGGACATTTGGTTGATAGAACTATAACCTCAATGCGAAGCAAGTAGCTTAGTTTAATCCTAAAGGTTGAAGCAATCAAAAATAAGGAGAGTCTCTACTTGTTGATATGTGAACTTGTAATGGTAAAATTTATCCAAACTAAGAGAGAGTAAGGATTAGAATTGTTTAAACTCCTAATTTTAGAATACACCCCGGAGAAATTGTGTGAAAAGAATACATTTGGGGATTGTGTATCTCTCGAGTGACGTAAGGATAAATTTGTCCACTATGGGTCTGGGATATACTAATCATAAGCTTGATATGTTGGCATGAGTTCACACACATATGTTGAGTATTGCATTTGATGACTAAAGGTTGATTCAATTCTCGCACTCTTGATATTGTTTCTATTATTATTACTAAGTCCAATCCTGAGACACGGCAAGCTATTAAGCCATGTTTGTTTAGCATTAAGTCACTACATTGTTTGAGGACAAACAATAGTTTAAGTTTGGGGGATTTGATAAGTGTGTTTTTACACACTTATTTAGCTCACAAACATGACTTAAATATGGACGAAGTAGTTGAATTATGACTTAATCTTGTTAAATTCATGATATGTAGGTGTTTTTATGGAAAAGATGGAATTCAGAAGAAAATAGCCGAAAAAGGACCAAAACGGAACAAAGCGATAGTTCGAGGACCAAGTTGCAAATAATCCATAGATGAGACGGGAAATGGAATGAAGATTCAAGAGTGTTAAAGTTCAATCGGATGAGGAAAGGAGTCAAGAGGTGAAATATGGTTGAAGTATTATCAAGTATCAAATTTCAGGCGAAAAAGTTATGCTCGTGATTTTGAGTCTCTACTTGAGATCCATTTTTGGCATAGTAAACATCAGAATTTGAGGAAGAATATTTCTATCAAAAGTGTACATCTTTGAATTTTCTTCCCAATGCACTTTGAATCACTTCAATCAGAGATCGGGAGAGAAAGTTATGACCAAAATACTGAAAGCTGTCCGGAGAAAAAATTTTATAACCATGCGGCCGCATGGTTATAA